ATTCCCAGTGGTGCTATCACCACGTCACCACGTTGGGTAGGCTACCCAACCCAGTTGTCTGGCGCAGCACTCCCGAAAAAAACCTTGGAAGCCCACCAAACTTCTTCAGCCCCGCCAAAAAGTATAACATTGTATGCCACTTCAGGCCGACATGTAAGTGTGCGCGTGGGCCTGAATACCTTGAAGACGTGCACACGGTGCAAAGGTCACATAATTCCCCTGATTTAACTGGGGAATTCCACAGCATGCATTATGAAGGATGAAGGTAGAGTATACTAGTATGAAAAACTGAATGAAATTGAAGTTTTTCAAAGATGTTTGTGGAAGGAAAGGTTGAAGTGGGCCACTATAGAAATTTATATTTCATAAGTGGTCAACCTTGGCCAATTTTCTCCTTTTCGGCCCGCAAAATGTTATATCCCCTGAACCCCGAACCTTCATGCCTGAACAGAGACATGCCTTCTACCGCCATTTTTCTTTTCTGTTTTCTTGAAAATGTTCAGGTTGAACCCTTTCCAGAAATTGTGGTGAAGCGACCGAACTATAAACTTGCAAAAAGCCAATTATAATTCTATGTTGCACCGAATGGAAGTTGATGTGACAAGCAGTAGTATAGTGCAGGCTAAAGGAAATGTAAGGGCGCGGGCTTTAACTTTCTGGCTCCGAAGTCAGGAGTATAGCGGTTGCAACAAAGGATGATCGCTTTTGGGGTACGGAGGAAGTCGTGAAAATAAAATCCACTTTTTTGCCTCAAAAAATTGACATTTTTTTACAAGTGGTGTGATTTCAGAAAAGCTGAAATTTGCTCTTACAGAAACAGGAAAATTGGATTGACCACGTTTCGAAAAACAAATCTAAGTTTCCTGCCACCATAATCGAGCTGCTTGTAAAGGGGTGTTACGACTTCTAAAAACACGAGATAAAGGTTACCAATAGAAAATGGAATATCTGGGTAGATTAAGGACGATCCCTGAGGGGGGGGGGGTCTGACACTCTCCCTGAAATTTCGTGGAAATATCACCCTGTAGTCAACCTGTGGCAACTGCCTGACGCCATTTTCAGGCTTGCGCCACGGTCCCTGGTAAATCTGCCAAGCATTGCCAGATATCAAGTAACTCAAGATTTGTTTACCGTTAAGAATTTAGACGCCTTGTCTGTCGACACATTATCTGCAGCTGCAGCATATCAGTGAGGTGGGCCGACAATCCGCTCCAGAACAGGGCTGGCCTGGGACCTTGCTGTATTTCGTGGAACTTGCCGGGTTTTAAGGTTTCTTTCTTATAGTAAAACCATGGAGGTAGAATCACCTCCATGGTAAAACCATACCAGAGCAAGGGTCAAACTTTGCTTTTTACAAATCTTTTGAGCAAATGTAGTATTTTGTTCCAAAATGTCGGTACAATCATAATCTTAAGAAGTTGAGATCCTCAAATAAAATTGGCTTTTTTTAGAGGGGTTGCAGAGACTATTTTTGACCCAGTCTAAATCTTTTTTCTTCCTCTTTGTTCCAAGTTCCCCTTAGAATGTTCTCCGATGGAGGAATAAGTTGTAATGTTGGGGGGGGGGGGCTAAAGACAACAGAGCAAAAGTATGTCAAAAGTCCAAAGTAAAAACCAAATTCTTCAAGTTCTGCAGTTTATGTAAATAATGGATTTTAGTATACTTGTCATTATGCCTGAATTTCCGTTTTTATAAGTAAGTATTATTTATTATTTGTATACGTGAAACAGGAGAACTTAATTATTTTGTAAACTTTTCACCGGTTTAATGAATTCGACAATTCTATTCTATAGGCGATAATTAAGAAGTGGATACACGGTGGGAGAGGGTATACACGGAGGAAGAAAGTTTTGAAAAGTGGGATTTCCAGGTAGAGGAGTATTTAGAGGGTGTTAAAAAGGAAAGCAACGAAAAGACGAAGTGTGACAATGGAGGACCAAAGGTCGACAAACCACACTGCATTTTCTGCTCGTAGATTTTCAGGAAGTTTGAAGTTTTTAGTTGTCCCCTTTTGACGCGCCACGAAGACTTCTTTAAGTAAATTCCCAATTTTTGCTAGCAGGAAATTAAGTTGTTGAAAATGCTTTACGCAAATTCCCCAAACCCGAAAATCTACTAGCAAAAAATGAGAAAATGGGGTTGTACACTTTTGAAGCATGCATGACAGTAATTTTGCCAGTGGGAATTTGAAGTTTTTAGTTGTGCACTTTTGACGCGCCACGAGAGTTGTTAAAGTAAAATCCAAATTTCTCCTGTAGCGGAAAATTGCGTGTTTTGAAAATGCTTTAGGCAAAGTCCAAAATCCCGAAAATCTACTAGCAGAAAATGAGAAAATGGGGTTGTCCACTTTTGACGCTCCATGGTCGTATAAGTGCATACAAAGTATCACAATGGTTACAACGCATCAACTTTGAAGGGTACAAGTGTACAATACAAGAGAATGTGGAACACATTCTGCCAAGCTTTACAACATCCCGATATTGTACAGGAAGTGTGAGGCCATCAATAAGTTAAAAATACAGACAAAAAAGCAGAGCTTTATACTGATTCGATCTATCGGCAAACTGTTAACAGTCCAAATCTGGACGGAGAATCAATTTCAAAGGCAACAAATCTCTCAAAAACATTTACGGGGATCGAAGTTAATGCAACTGGCATGTAATCGTTGTATTATGGCAAGAAAACCATTCTTAGGGGGAACTGGTATTATGTAGCCTAGATTTCTTAAAACAGGAAGGCGAGTTTGTGTGAAAGACAAGTTAAAAGTCCCGGCAAAGACTCCCGCCAGTTTAGTACCGGTAGCACACCATTTCGGCAGGCATGGACTAACTCCGTCTGGGCGTGCCGCTTTCACCATGAAGGAATAAAAACCACTCCATACTTTCACTGAAGTGAGACAATCAGGCATTGTTTAAACATCCTCATCATGATGATTCTCACCTCGTCATTGTCTGTTGCAGTATAGACTTGTATCCCCGCCGTCAAAGCGACTCTAAAAATCATCTTCCGAAGCAGCTGACTTCATGGGACCCTTGTAATTAGTGAAGATATTTACATAATGTATGTTCGCCCAAAGTTCCCTGGAAATTTGCCCTCGGATTTTCTCTTGGAGGACGTTTTAGCTTCTCTTAATTTTCCCATTCTCAACCTGATTTAGTGATCTGGAATTTTTCAGGGTTGATGTTTTTGACCTCTAGGCTTCATCCTCCGCAACAAGCAGCATTCTGATTTGCGTGTTAGACTACAGTGTAATTGTTGGGCTATTGTGAATCACAGTCTTGTCTGTAAGCACGATTTCATACAGACGGTTCTGTGATGTGTCTGCATACTCATCAGGGTAAATAAAAAGGCTTTCACTTGATTATTGATGGTCATTTGTAAATCAGTTGTTATTAATGAGAAAACATACTCCTCCCCTTCCTCTTTCTTTTATTTATGAAAAAAAAGGAGTCTCAATCTTGTCTGTAAATTATCGTGAATCCAGGCAGTTGTAGGCCTACATACGAGTCTGGTTGTGAGGATTTCAGGTTCTGAAAAAAAAGGACGGAACGGAACGAACTGAACTGAACTGAACTGAACTGAACTGAACTGAACTGAACTGAACTGAACTGAACTGAACTGAACTGAACTAAACTAAACTAAACTAAACTAAACTAAACTAAACTAAACTAAACTAAACTAAACTAAACTAATGCAATCCTTACAGTATATTTATCCATTTCATTGTGTAGGTCTAATATCTGAACATTTGTCAAAATGATACTTGGAACCAGAGATTTACAATTGCGGTGAGGTAGCTTCAACCACAGTCTGCCTCTCTTGCCTGGCTTCCGTCCAGTACGTTGGACGTGGCTCGGCTGGACAAATCGTTGCGCAGGTTCATTTCAATTTTCATGGTGTGCCCGGATGGGCTGACAAATTCGTGAAGGTTACCCCCCCACTCCCCTCTAAAAATGTCCTACTCCTGACGTTTGCGTTTAAAAAATCAGAACAAAAAGTCCGTCAAAAATCCTGATTGGTCTTAATTTAATATATTAGGCTTAAACGCGCTCACTCTCCTTTTAAACCACATCTTGTACCAAATTCCTTGGAGGGGCAAACTCTGAATCATAATCATAATTGTATTTTTGACGGTTCCAACCGCTTACATTCCGTGTCAACAGGTTACGTTTGGCATATGCCTAATCAGGCTGAGAAGCACCCTATATATGTCCGCTTTTACATAATCAAGTTCATAAAAAATCAAAACAAGTGTATTTGAAGTAAAACAGAGAAGTCAGTAACTTTCCGGTTGTTAGGTGCTTAAAGTTTAATCCTCCACGTAAATCAGCAGCGTAATCGCTCATTCAGGTCCAGTTTTCCAACATGGACCAGTACGATTGAAATTGTTGTACATCTTTGCACACAAGGTGTGGTGAAGTATTTAATTTCTACAGGTATCATGATGACCCTTATCCTATCTAAAGGTTAGTCGTGTCATCTTGGTTTCGAGCAAGTGGATCCATGCATGGATGATCATAGAGGGACCTTCGTAGTTCTCCATCATGCAGCAAGTCTGATCGAAAGTTGGCCGAAAGCTCATTACCGCCTTCAACAGTGCACTAAAACTAGATTGCCACGTGATCGTTTTAAGAAATTAAGGTGGAGCAAGCCTGCCCCACTCACAGCCGTGGATGTTGCACACTTAATCCGGGCGATTGACTTCTGCGTACAACTTGTTCGTCAAGTCGTTCTGGGTCCATGCGCCGCAGCAGTTACGCAGAAAAGAAATTCCAACAGATGATCTAAATCTTTCATTTTTCTGAAGTGATGTGGGACGATATTTTTCACGTTAGATAAAAGTGACTATTTTTTCGGGTATATGGAGTTGAACTTGAAGGAATTAATACAGAAAAGGCACTGTTTAGAAATAGGAAAATGCGTAACGACTTGAATGAAGTCTAGTAAACAAGACCGCGTGTTCCTGTCGTCTGGAAGTTCTTTGCTGTCACATACATGTACGTACATGTACACCCACATATGTACACTGAGTTCATCAAAGCGTCGAAGATGGTGATCTCTGTTCCATAACTTTAAAGTGCAGTGTAATCAATTTTGAACACAACATTGCGTTGGCCTAAATTGAAAGAACAAGTTGTACAGCATGTCTACATGTACACCTCACTATCTGTGCACATCGAGATGACCAACCTAGCAAAATAGCAGCAAATCTTAATGATCAAAGCATGGAGAACCTAAAACATTCACCTTTGGCCAAAACAGTTGCAGTACAGCTACGACCGCATGGACTGCGGACTGAACAATTTGGGCCGAACTGTTCGTTGGTTAGTTTACCTGCAGGTAAGAAAAATTCTTGTCCTATTTTCAGTCATATTATCATCACTCGATTAGAGTGTAACCTTTCAGAAAAGGAATGAGAAAACCAGAATGTCTGTTTTGTGTTCCAGATTTGTTAGTGACGGTATGTTACTCAAAAACATGTCAACTTTAGTCTGGTTTGTTAATCACCCACTGATCACAAGCTCTCTTGGATCATGATAAATGAGCACATGAACTTAACCGGTGATGAGAGTGGTACAAGCAATCAAACATGTTACTTCTTGTCAAATATGAGAAATTTGTTTTTGTTTTGAAAGAAGGTGTAAAACTAAAAGGTCAGAAAAGGACTTGACAATGCCTTAGTACTCACGACAGAATCCTCAAAAAAGTTAAGATTGTTACAAAGCAAATCCTTGAAAAAGTTTAAGATTTGTCACAAAGCATGTAGGCATAGTGAAAAAAGAACTTCTTTTCTGTGGTTTTATAAGCCTTATCGCAAATACTGCATTGGTTATTTTACACAGTGGTAGAAAGGCATTGTGGGAAGGAGAAAGGAGCAAACATTGCCCCCTTTTTCTTTCCCACAATGCCATTCTACCATTGTGCAAAATCACCCATGCAGTATTTGTAGTAAGGCTTATTAGAAGGGATTGCTTATTTATATCTTTTAAGACGACAGTTTTTCCAAAGAGGGAGTGTGGATTTTACTGTCTCTTTCTAAACTTGTGTCCAAAGAAAATGCCATTTTTCATCATCGAACAGGTTTTAATACTGCATTAATAACAAACTAATTTTTGAAATAGTCAAGGGAGAATTGGCAAATTTATCAATATGAAAAAGTAATAAGTAATGTATTTTGAAAGAAGCTGGAGACAGAGAAAGCAGGTGGAAACGAGATACAGCTTTTTTTGAACTTACTCTTACATCGAAAGTTAGAAATGATACAAATGGGATTTAGGACAATAATAAACACGCAGTTTGTTACTGTAGTAAAGGGCACTGGCCATATAGATTGAAATCTAGAGCAAACTGAAAAACCAGCATTTCTAGGCAATGAGTCATCCACCAGTCAAGTACTTGTAATCCAACCTATATCTGCCTGTGTAAAGCATTGGCTGTGTGTTTTATGTCAGTCTTAATGAGATTTGTTTTCTCAGACCTGGGGAGTGGCAAGGGAATAGAGAAAAGTGTTGAATAGAATTTAGAAACAGTGGTTTGTTTGATGGTGGTGGGTGGACCTTGAAAACCTCCAGTGTATGAAGAATCTTATACTTGTTATTCTTATTATCAATTTTCATAATCATAGAAATAGTTAAGAATTAAGTATATACCATTCTGAAACCTACAGATAGTGATAAAGGGTATGATGAAAGCTAATAGCACCCCACTTTGAAACAATCAAAAAAAGTTCAAGATTGTAGTCTATACACAAGCGCATTAGCATAACAAGAAATTGAAGATGAGACCCAGGGTTTTGCATGCAGCTGTCCTGTTTAAAAGCTCCCTGCTTTAAATTTGCAGTTACATGCAAAGGAAAGAAAACAAATGGTTCTACCAGATTTCATCATATTACAGTGTGTCCTGTTTATCTGGGTGTCATATTTTTGGACCTGGGAGGAGGGCCTGTCAAACAAAAACAAAAACCTTTGCTGAAAATTGTAAAAAGGCTAAATGATCAGTGTTAAATATGATCTAAGTTACATGAAAAAAAAAAAGTTTCAACCCAGTTACACCATCCTATATAGCCATGTGATTACACCCAAATTTTAATCCATTTCTATTGAATATTCAGATCACTGAGATCTACTCATAACTTTTATAGTAGAACTTGTAAAGCACAAATATTTCACCTTTATCACTGCTGTGATGCACAAACATGTTGGTTTATTTGAGTTGTTTCAATTCACCTGATTTCTGGTGTGAGTACATGTATTTGCACCCTCTCCATGAAAACCTCCGTGGACAAATTGTTGATTAATTGTTAAAAATATTCACTACTATGTGTATGCCAATAACATTTTAGGGATGTAGAAATAGAATGCGATTCCCTAAATTGTGGTTAATTTTTATTGAACCCTCAAATGAATGTTTTAATACTGACAAATGACGGCATTATGGCTGACGTACATTTTAGAACCCAGATTATAGTCAAGCACCCTTTTGGTGCATCTATATGTTGACCCAAGAGGAACATGGACATTGGACACATAGTTTATGTGTTCGTAGAGTGTTCGAAAGTAAAAACATATACATGGACGTGTACATGTCCATGTACATTTCATGAAAGCTCTACTTTGTCTTTGTTCACAGGCATTTTTTCTTTAATTTCCCACAGATAGTGGGCACGTTGTTTGACTTCAGCAAACGAGTTGTATCTGTTCGCAAGAAACAATGTGACTCGAAACACGTACTGCACAGATTGGAGCTCTCTGTCTGTCCTATTTGCCCCAGTTAGCCTGATTTTGATGTCCAAATTCATCTAAATTTCACTTTGGTTGGAAAGTTTTGCAGATTTATCCAATCTTTATAGGTGTTGCCACTGCCTGTCCCTGTTAATGAGATACCAGGAGGGGAGGAGCAGGGTCGTTTCACCCAAAATTTGTTCATTTGTTTCTCCCATTTATTAATCAAAACAATAACTTTTTCATTCTGGATATCATTTTAAAACATACAATTTCCATTTATAACAAATAAAACCATTCTAAAGCTGCAACTCAAATGGTTGTCAAAATTTTGATTTTAATCGCAAATTAGCAATAACTTTTGCTTATTTTCACAAAATGCACTTCTAATGTTGTCTTGCTCAAAATAAAAGAAGACTTTTGAGGCCTTTGGCAGCATGGACCTGTGCTGGCGTGCTGTCACCATTGTAAATCAGCAAGAAACTAACTCCGCAAAAATGTCTGAAACCGACGACATCCAGGAGGAGTACAGCATTGAGGATGACATACACATTTTGAAGAAGTACATTGGTTTAAGATATCAAACTTCTGGTGTTTCTGGTTGGCAGATACATGTACAATGTATGTAGTCATTCCTCACATGCCTTGTAACTTCAAATGGAGTTACTGAAAAAGACTCACAATGTTTTCTCACAATGGGGACTGTGAACAGTCACTGTTATTCTTCATACATTGTGTGCCAGGGTGTACACGTACATACAAAGGATACGTGTAAATAATTTGAATGCCCTAATGTGGAACATTATCGTTAACATCTTGTGCAAAATTTGAGGCGATCAACCCTTTTTTCCCTTTTTGTCCATATCTGACTTGGCAGATAAGGTTGGTTGCACCAAATTATATAAATTTTATCACGGTCAGGAACCAAATATGGGTCAATCAGTAAGTCATTTTAAATGGCATTATGGGTGAATGGGTCGAAGGGATGGCTGGGCTAATGTTCAGGAAAAACCAAAATTTCAAAACAATTCATTTTGGAATGCTCTATAATAGCAAGGTATTACTCATCGAACAAAGCGTAAAAACTGAAAAACCCTAAAACAAGTATGCCTGGGCATAATTATTTGGAATGTCCTGTTTTATTTTGAAGTGTCATGGAAAATTAATTGATGAAGAATGGTCTCTCCGTCAAATAAATTGTCAAAATATTCAAGGCCTGAAGAACATGAATTGCTTTGCATTTGAGGTTTATTTAAGAAAAAAAGGAAAGAAAAGGTTAAATTTGTCTGGTGTTGGTAATGGTCGCGTTTGTGCATGTTTCATCATTGTGTGGGACATGTGACCAAAATGGCAACGTCCCTGGTTATCAGTTTTCAACAAATTATAACCAGCCTTCCATAACAATCACAAAAGTTGTCACTGACTAGGATAAGAAGAGGTGTAAAATAATTGGTAATACTCTTGTGCTGACTTCCTGTTTTTGGTCAAATCATGGGATTTTTCACATGTTCAAGAATATGGGCATGAAGTACCGGGAGGTGCATGCATACCACCTGTAATCACCACCACACATTGCTTGAGCTCATCCTGAGTATGAAAACTTCCCTTCACAGGATTTCTGAAAACAAAAGACTGCTTGACTGAAAAAAATGGTGGGACTGTGTAAGTAAAGCCCAGGATCAACTTCCTGGTGCAGGGGGAGGGGCTTCCATCTGAGGGCAGAGTTGATAAAATTGTGGTTGAAATGTGGTCTTAAGTGCTTTAAGGAGTTGAAGGATGCCATTTTCCAATCACAAATGAAAAAGGAAAGGAAAAGAGAAGGGCAAGAAAACTTTTGTTTTAGAAACCCCAGCAATGTTGGCTTTCATGTTATACAAGCCCTATACTCTATTGATCATTTTCACTGTTTTCATTGGGGGCCTGAATGAGTGTAGTGCACCCTGTGTTAGAACAGGTGGTTACAGTTGAGCTAATCATTTAATTGTTTATGGGCTTAACTGCAAGACCCAGTTCATGTTGTAAACAATCTACACACTTCATTGCCTATAACAGGGGCCTTCACCCTCCTGCTGTTTGTAGTTGCCTTGACAAATTGACTGATGTTCCCTACATGTACTGTGTACCTCTGCCTCCCTGAAGTGAGATGCATGTACATGTACATGTACATGTACGTGTACCCATTAGGTTGGCTATGTGTGAAGTTACAATGCACTTCTCCTTTACTTGGTTTAATAAGCCATTTGGGAGTTAAATTTGAATAACATCTGGTGCACTGAGTTATCTGACTGCACATAAACATAACAATTTGAATTCCCCAAACTAAAGATACTGTTGTTATACCTCGTGATTCGGGGCAAGCTTTCTCATAGCGACCACCATCTCTGGAATGGACTGGTTCGTTTATGCCCTTCTTAATCATTGAGAACAGTGTATTGTTGCAAGACGTCTCTTATGTAACTAAGGAAAAACTTGCCCCGAATCACAAGGTATAGCAACAGTGTTTTTAGTAAGGAGAATTCAAGTTGTTATGTTCATGTGAATTTAAAGAACTCAGTGTACCAGATTTGGGTCAAAGTTAACTCGCAAAAGGCTTATTGACACATATTAAAGAACATGCAC